AGGCTAATAAATATATTTAACGATCTGGGTCATTATTTAATACAAAACAATATTTAATACAAAACCACACATAATGTTTCTACTGTATCTCTGTCAATCACTCTGATATTTAGTTAGTGAATTGAGTGCTGTCTGTCACTGTCTTTAATCAGTTCCGTGAATGTGTATAGTATGCCACATGCACTGTAATATGTTATATATTAAATATAACATTTTCAAATGAAAATAGCAACATGATTGTTTTATAAAGTATGCGTTCATATGTGTTGAGGGCTACATTTTCTCTGGAGGAAACAGCTGTGGTGTGATGAGGGGTAAACGCAGCGGAAATCGTGACCTTTTGTAAACTGTATTTATGACAAAGAACTGCACAGATACACATATTATAACGATTTTCGCTGGAGGAAACAGCTGTGGTGTGATGAGGGTTGAACACAGTGAAAACTTTACAGTAATGTTAGATGGGGAAACCGATTGCTCCCTCGTGACCTTTTATAAACTGTATGTATGACAAAGAACTGCACAGATACAGATATTATAACAATCTATCGATAAACACACACCTTGTGCCCTCTGTTTCTGTTTGAGTCCGCTCGCGCTGCGCCACCGCGGTCTGCGGATTGAAGAGCAAGCTGAAAGACGGGGAGGAGACGAAGTCTGCCGCCATTTTCATATGAAATTTTACAGGTGATATATCATGAAAATCTGACTTTTCCAGGTTTTAAGTGCTATAATCAGGTTCCCAGTGCATCTACCAACCAAGGAAACGTGAAAAAGATTAACCCAGTAACTTTGTTTTGAGAAGCCTTTTTCTGCCAGTGTCTGAGAAAACGAGGGCATCTGATTTCGCTCCCTTGGTGACGTGGCAAAGGGATCTCATTATAATATTACCGCCCCTTAATCTGTAAATTTACACCCACTGCACCATTATTGTGTTTTCGCAAGCGACAACGGTGTACCAGCTCTAAACCCATGGCGAAAGTTTGAGCAAAACATGCTAACTGTTCTGTCTTTGGCTGCACAGACGAGCACAGAATTGTAAAAAGGGGCATAATATGTCTCCTTTAAAGGGGACTGACTCTGAGGCGAACACGAATTTGTGTACAGTTTACGGAGCTAATCGCTATAGCCCCGCTAAAAATGGCCTAGCGATGCCCATGCTTCTTACGTCCATTTCGGAGAACCAGGACAAATATTTCAATCGATCGCTCAGGCATTTAAGTGGCACCGAAATGAGGCACCGAAATCAGCGTTCTGATTCGGTTCTAGTACATACCGGTTACATAGGTACCGGTGCCATATTGGCACCGGGTTTCGGTACCCATTTCTTTATTTAGTTCGTTCTTTCGTTTGTTCGTTCATTCAGGTTTCACCTAATGATGACACATTTCCTATAAAATAATAATAAAAACAACATTTCTTACAATATTTATTTATTGTTTGTTTGTTATATTTAACCAAATAAAAATTGTAACCCATTAACCTGCAGTGTGCTTTGTTTCATAGCAATCATTCATCTTCATAAACTATGCACCATTTGAGCTGATTCAAAATCAAAAACCCACTTTTTAATTAAAAAAAAAAGAAAGAAAGAAGCAGGTTTTTGGACAAGAGACGTCAATTCCGTGTCTTACACTGCCCTTTCTTGTTTTGTTCTGTAAACCTTTATTTGTAGAAATGTTTTCTCTTTCTGTGTTCCCTCATCACTCCCTTAATGTTCCAGCAGACATGAGTCGTCTGCCAGATGTGTAGGGCCTATTTACGGTTGGAAAGCTCTTTCAATGGATTGTTATTTGATCATTTTGTGAAAAGAAAAAACAATTGTACAATTTATGGTTAAAAAAACTGGCAGCTGTGGTTGCCAGAGTTTTACCATAAAAGGTAGCAACATTTTACGTTTTATGGATTTAACTTATATTTACATTTAAAAATATATTTAATTAACTGATATAATATTACCGTATTGACCCGAATATAAGACGATGTTTTTTTTCTTGGAAATACATCTGAAAAAACGCGGTCATCTTATATTCAGGGTCTAGACTTTGACATGTCAATAATACACTCACAACAATAGGTGGCACCAAATATGCATAAAACGAGTGTGCCATGAAATACGTAATGTAAAGCGGGTTGTAAAGATCGC